TCATAGCTTGGACCTCTCTGCAGATTTCTTTAACATAACTATCAATGGCTCTTCCTTCTTAATTCCTTAACAATCTAAATACTCAGTTATCAACAAACTGAATGTTATCATTTCAATTTTCTGTTTAAAAAAAGTTAATGTTGTTAAGTAACAAGAACATCCTCACATGCCAGATACTTTGAACATTCTGAATACTGAAAAACCAATGAACTGACAGATTTACTGTACTCATAAATCTTGCAGTATTCATTAAATGAGCCTGAAGGTCCTTGTCCTCCAAACATTTCTGGATTTGCTTAAAATAAAATGTGTATTTACCAGGGTTTCTAAATACAAAGAAGAGTCTAATGTGACACTAGGATCTTAACTCAGAGTTTAATGGATCCATTTTTTTCGATCTGTAATCTCTACATAGGAAGTGGACACAGTAGTAGTAAAGGGTGATATATTTAGGTAAAACTAGCCATGTATCTTCGCTATCCCATTCAGGGCACTTAGGCATCTAATTTAGCTGCAACTGGAAGGACCTATGGTACAAATGTAAGTTTCTTCTGTAGCTAATTGAGTTTAGACAAGGACTTCCATTAGGACCACTGTTAGTTGTCTGGTCTGGCCTAAAGTAGACAGTGTGCATAACTCTCTGCATGTAGCTTAAAAACAAATCCAGAGGCATTTATAACGGAATAGGTCAAATTCCTCGTTTTGCTAAAGTACATCTTAATCTTGTTATCTAGAAATAGCAATGGAAAAATGGATATTATCAGTGGAGAAACTTAGGGTCAGTTGGGAAAATCAGACATCAGAAAGTCATACATTTAAAAGCAAATCCACAGATCAAACTTAAGATTGTTACACAGTGAAATATGCATTTCTTTGTACCTGTGAATAATATTCTTGCTTATTAAGTAGGCAGACCAAGATTTATGATGTCCTTAACTTCTCATTTCTTTCCTTGTAAGAGCTTGCATTTTGTAAATGACATCGTAGGAGACTACACTGTTGTCACCTAGCAACTATGAAGTATTTTCTGAAAAAGTTGCTGTTTGGCTTTGAATTAATAATAAAAATAGTAATTCCACTCAAGACTTTACATTTGTAGATCTTAAAGTGTTTACAATGATGCATTATTTTTACTACCCTTAATTGGAAGTATGAAAATCTAGGATGGAAACTGTGTTGCCAAAAATGACAATCAACAGAGCTACAAATTGTATCCTGAAGATCTCACCCTCTTCTCCACATTCTAGCCTCTTCAAACTGTACTTTTATATAGGTCCCTTCCCACATTTTCTGGTCTTATGAATTTTAAATAAGGAAAAGGAATAATTTAAAAAATCTGTATTTGCAATGATTGTCTCCCCCTCTCATTTGAGATATTGCAGTTATTTTATCGTCTGAGGGTCACAGTGAATTAGCCTGTGGCAAATACTTAATTTTTAATGGAAACCATTGCAGCACTGAGTTAAAGCAAGCAAAAGCTTCACATTCATCCTAAGATGATCCAGCTGCTGCATCACTGACCAGTTCTCGTGTTGCAGAAATGGCAGTTCTGTATAATTGGTTTTTGCAGAAAATGTTTTATCCTGATTATTGAAATATTTTCTAATACCAGAATGACAGTTGACATTGCATAATGAAGTGTCAGCTGTAACAACAGCTGGCTTCAAAAGTGTTTCATTTTTCAAGTAGATCATGGAGGCTGGGTAGCCAAGGTTTTGTGTGATTTGAGTTAAAGAAATGCTTATTTTAAATTATTTGAGAAATCTCATACACTCGTTTTCGGCTCTCCATTGCTCTTGCCAGACATTTGGTGCAATGAAGCTGTTTGGGGGCATATTTCTTCCTAATAGCCCATGTTTTTAAGAAACTTTTAAGGATGACTTAGAATGAATAGCCACTAAGATAACATGTGGGCTGCTGTGCAGCACTGTCCCTGGAGAGTGTTATGTCAGGAAAGACCTTAAAAAAATGTCTATAATGAAACGTATATTCCTCACAAGTAAGGAAAGATCTTGACAGATCATCTGTTATGAGGTATCTGCTCTGTTCTTTATTTGTGGGGCAAATGGGATTTCTCCGTATAATTCATTGTGGATTATGGTTCTGTTGCAGTCTGTGTAATGGCAGCACATGGGGAATTTAGGAAATGACACTCCAGCTGTCTTTTACAATAACTGTTTCTTCTGATGCTTTTGCACTGTAATACTTCTTCCTTCAAATTATCTTTTCTGTACACTTCTCACTGAAATACCTGTGTGTATCCCAAAATGAATTAAAAAGAAAAACGGATCTACATAAATTACATCTGTTTTCCCTATGTGATAGGCTTTAATTCATTCACTAATTTATTGATAAATATCCAAAGACAAATATATATCTGGAGTTCTGTTTCTATAATACATTTTTAATAAAGAAAATGAAGTCAATATGCAGTAGCTGGAAATGTAAATCTGTCTCCTGATTTTCATTATTGTGTGAGGTTTGATATATATATTCTAAAGAATAGAATTATCTATGTTGCAGATATATTATTAGGAGCTATTTTATCTGTAAGGCTCATTAAGTTTACCATTGTTTTCAGAAGTTTGAAACCGGTGGGAGAAACTGAACCCATACATTAGCAGATGAGATGCAGACGAGCTGCCCAAACCAGTACATTGCCTACTGTATATCTTCCCTGAATTCACTGCCATGCAAATCTTTCCCAGTGGTCTCCAGAGATTTACTTTAATTGAATGGTTTAAAGCAATTTTGTAAAAGTTCAAGAGCGGGACAGGGAGAAGCGAGAAGCCCCTAGGTGTATATTTGGGTCCTCCGTATTTCAGGGTGTAGGCTCGGAAGCTGTATCAGCAGGACTCTCTCTGTAACAGCACATGTAATGCTTACTGAATTAAACCCCAGACCACTTGCTGGGTAATGTCTTATGGATCAATTCTGTGAACTAGTCTCTAGCAGAAGGGCTGTAAGAAAACCAGAATTCTCTGTAGTCTGTCTAGCTGCCTGAAACACAAAATCCCGAGGAAGATACCAGGTCAGGTTTTAGATCAGATGAATGATTAGTTTGTTCTGCCTTTGGAGCTTTGTTGCCGAACATTTCCATCTCTATTTTGCCTTTAACTATGTTTAATTGTTCATCATCCAGCGTTGTCTACAAGTAAGTGTGAACTTTGCAAGGAATTGAGACGTAGGTCGTTGCCCATGCAGAACAATTCCTCGTGCAATTCAGTCTGGCTTCTTACAAAAATATTTTCCATCTTGCTTGAGTTGAGAGTGCTCTGGAGTGGGAGGGCTTGCTTGCTTTAGATGCCCTTGGCAGATACATAATCAGATAATGATTGGCGCCTTTTTGGCAAACAGCCACAAAGCTGTAAATCATTTTAGGATTTACAGGGTTCCACTTCTCTATTCTGGCAGCAATCTGCATTTCTCAGAGCTGTACCCAGTGATGGTACGCCATGATTAAGGAGAAACTTATTTGTGTTAGTGGGTTTTAATCATTTCAATTTGCAGACCTTTAAAAGTTTTCTGAAGAAGTGTGGAGAGATGAAGGACAAACAAATTGCAGCCTTTTGACAAAGCTTCTGTTTTTCTTAAGTTATTATTTACAAACGTTTTAGAAATAATCCATGTATTCCTACAAGTTTCCATATCATAAGTTGGAAACCGGCACTCTAGTGAACTTACTAAAAGAAAACTCCTTTTAGGCACCGAATGCTCCTGTGTTCCATTGCCTTCAGCAAGAGATCAAGGGTTTATTTTTACTTTTATGCTCTTTACTAATGGAAATAATTGGGATTTGAACAACAATGCATTTCAGATATGAGGGCAAAGGACACTAATGGTAATCTATTTAATGGGCATTATCTATTTTCAGCCACTTAGAATATGTTGAGGTCTTGCGAGAGATACAAACTTCCCGAGGTTTTCCCTGATCAGTTTGGGACTTAGCTATTTTTGGCTTCTGTTACTGGAAAAGTACAACATGTACCTTCATTTCCCTCTTGAACCAAAAGATTTAAACTACTGATCATTCTAGTAAAAAGGTCAAAACATGAGATAAGACCGGCCATCGTCCTCGTAGAATTCCACTGGTTTGTTTGACAACTAAATATTTTTAACAGAAGATTAATATTTCAATACAAAGTGACAAAATGCATCTACATTCTATGACTTACAGATACAGTGCGTAAATTAAGAAATTGTGCAAATGCTCTTTTAGACTACAGACTGTACGGGACAGATAGGACATAACAACTTGCTTGCTGCTCTTTTGGCAGCTTATGTGTTTTGTTAATGTAAAAATATATTTTGATCACTTTCAATTTTCTTATTTACATTAAATTTATTAACTACAGCACAGAGGCTGGTTGAATATTAGATCATGTCTTTCACAAAATCACATCATTTTTATTCTCTGACAAAATAATTGTCTTGGTGGTATCATAAATTTTGTTTTTAAAAAAAAGACATATACATGCTGGTTGAATCTAGTCTTTTTTAAATGCCTGTATATGTTTAGATCCATGAGGTCATCTGCCAAGACGTAACTGAAACTTGTGGATATGTCAAAAATAAAACGTGTTAGTACAGTGTGTAATTCTGCACTCAAATACTGGAGCAACTCCAGCACCGATGATGAAGCTCCTTCAGCTTCGTGTGTGTGTGTGAGAACTATGTGGAGAATCTGGATAGCACAAATGAAGGACTCTTAGTGTTGCAAGCATGCAACTTTGGCAAGGTTTAATTTTAATAGCACTTCACGTGCAAATCCAATCTGTTGCTATTACACAGATAATCTCGTGTCAAATTTTAGATAACATCTGGAGCTATGCATAAATACCATTTAAACAGGAGACTCATATTTTTGCTCAATAAAAGAATCAGTTAAATGACACTTTAACAACAATACCCACAAGTACTGTTTGCCTTTCTCCTTGATTTATCCATAAAGTAACCGCTGCTGCATGCTTTTCTTAATGTCACTTTCTTTCTGTTTTTAGAGTTTCTTTGAAGGACAGTCTGCACCATGGGATTCAGCTAAGAAAGATGAGAACAGAATGAAAAATAGATATGGGAATATCATTGCATGTAAGTGTTGACAACATAATTGTGCACTGTGTTAACTTCCCTTCAGAACTGGATAAGAATGACCACCAGCCTCCTCCTCACATCAGGCTTATATCCTCTTCTCTAATTAAGAAGATAAAAGTGAGGGAAGACGTTACATTTTTTGAGAAAACTGTCAGATTTAATGCATTTTCTCAACTAGCCTTCTGTATACCTTCCATCCTGTGATCAATGTTTGGCTAATGGAGAATGACGCCTTTAACCAGTACTCGACTCCAACAGCTCCCAAACTGCTCCTGGCAGCTTAGCGACAGAGTACCCATGATCGCATCGGTACCTTGATACTGGGCTTTGGGTATGGTAGGAGTGGAGTGGACAGTACTGCTGCTGAAGTATTCCTTAGTAACAGTGACAGCTATCCTGACTTACCCTCTTAATGCTAGACAGACTCTAAGGAAAATCACAGAATCTGTATGTTTTACTTAAAAATGCCAAGCTCGATAAAGATTAGATATACTAATAATCAAATAACTTGAGGAGATGATAGCATACTTTGGTGGATGACCCCTGAATCTTCCATTATGAGACTGCAAAATGTTGTGGCAAACGATGGTGCACATGAACATGGGGGCAGAATCTATATCAAGTTCGGTAAAATTATATTATTATTTACACATTGGTGGTGTTGCACTTAATGGGTAAGTTCCCAGTGTGTAAGTAGGAGATGATCCATTCCCTGATCGTTCCTTCAAACTCTAAGTTTAAGATACAAAGCGTGTGTGTTTCTACCAGCCAGACAGATAAGCATGAAGCAGGTATAAGCAGAGAAATAAGCAGCAGTAACAGCATGTCAGAAGTTTTGTAAGCATGAAAATGAACGATGTTTAGAAATCATGTCTAACTCTTGGTACATGGGACAGCATAGAAGAATAAACAGTGCTGACTGTCTGAACATTTGGAGGACCTATGGAAGGAGTATGTAGTGCGTATTTACACTGCCTAACTTCAGCACCTAATCTAGGTGCTTGTCCAGGCACAGATCTACCTAGGTTTCCTCATCAGTGAGCCACGTGGACCTGACAGAGAGAAGGACAGCTCTTCTAGAGAAACGATGCAGAAATAGAGGCCGTTTGCATGCTTCTGAATCCCCACCTCAGGAGGTCCTCCCTGCAGTGCTTGCACAACGAGTCTAGAGAGCCCAGCCGCTGGCTCAGCACCCTGCCATAGGCGGTAGGAGCAGGCCCTTACGGCACAGGTCCAGCTGGGCTGAGACAGTCTGCAAAGAGAGAACAGCTCTGTAACTCGCTGCGGAAATGCTTGTGGAGAGAGGCAAGTTAAGCAAGAGATGCTCTCTGCCACATTGGTTTCAACGGACATGGTAGTATTGCTCTGCATTTTGGATGTATACTGTGCTACTTACTGAAAAAGGAAGTGAAATCTTCTAGGGAAATGTGAACATCATGATGGGCTGGAGCATATGGAAAAGAAGGTAAGTTAGCTAGCTGTGGTTTTGCTCGTTTCCCTCCAAGCAATCTTTAATGTGTAACAAACCTCATTTTGTGAGGATGTAGCAATACATTAGATGACTTTTGTTATTTAAGTAAAAATACTGAAGGCAGAAATAACATTATCCAAAAGTTTTATGTTTATCCTTCCTTTGTGGAATTTTATTTCCAGTCCAAGCCTATGACAATAGATCTTCTCTTTTAGTCAGGTTTAGTGTTGTCAGTCCCCTCCTTAATGTCACCTAACCCTCTGACACCCTTTGGTTGAAGACAACTACTGGTGCTGTATATCTGAGGTAATGAAGTGATGAGTAGCCAAGGGAAAACAAGTAAAAGATATTAGATACACGAATCAATGGCAATTACAAGTGATACTGAAGGCTTTCTGAGAGGGCAAATATAACTCAGATCATTTAGATCTCAATTTACTTTTAATGTCCTCAGCATTTAGCAAAAGGTTGGAGTTGTTATCAATAGCACTTCCTATTTATGTGGCTGTGAAAACACAGATAAGACAAGTTAAAATTAAAATCCATTAGAGTTAAAGGCAGTATCTTAAAAGAGAGGCTGAAACTGCCCAGTTTGTCATCTGTTAAATACATGTATGCAAATGGGGTAGTTAACTGTTTAAGTATTTTATGTGTTTTTCTGTTGGATAAATGATTGCTTGTTTCAGAGTCTGAGAGTACAGTTTTAGCGGTCCACTTCTGAAATTTGTCCCAGATAGTTGCATAAAGTATTTGCTTTATCTGAAAAGCATTTTACTAAGTTGTCTTTTTATGCTGTGTTTAAAAACTTAAAAATACAATGGTTCAGGTGCCACTAACTATGGGTACATGGTTATAATGAAATGTATATTTTTTCTGTAAAGCGTTTAATGTAATTTTTTTCCATCCATTTATCCTCTTTGTTTAAATTTTCCCCAAGACACTCCTGTTACATTATTGCTTGTAGTCGTTACTGTTCTCTGAGGGAACTAAAACAATAGTACCAGGCGGACAGCATTACAGGAGCTTGTCAAAATGGCAATATCCTTTACATTACCCAAGTGACGTGCGTTGAATTGGCTACAAGCGTGCCCTACCCACTGTAGGAAAGTGGGTACAACTTGTGAGTCACTCTGTCGACAAGCTGAAGCATGATCACAGTCCAGTCACCCACAGAAAACATGCTCCTTTACTGAACACAAACAACTTTGTGTTTTCTCATTAAGAACTAAAACTGGCACGAATCTGCTGAAAGAATCTTTTTTTACCTAAAACAAACCACAGCTTCTGCCGTAATTGTGTAGGATTATGCATGGATTTTGGTAAAATCTGTTGGGTTTTTCCTCAGGAGAGATCTCGAGGTAATTTCAGAATGAGATGGGTTCTGTATTTATTTGTACCTAAGTCAATATTGACTAAATGAGAAGAGAATATCGATCACAGCTTTTAAAAGCAGCTGAAGATTTTAGGTGAGACATTTATAAAGGGCTTGATTTACAAAGAACCAGCAAGGCACGTCCCAAGAAGGGGTCATTGGCTAGGCATGCTAATCAACCAGCTACTCAAGGGGCTTGTTAGAGACCACAGTCTGCAGGCTGGCATGTACATGTTGTAGGTAGCATGAGGGGAGCAAGAATAAAATGCTTGTATTCATTATCTATTACTATTTTCTACAAAGACAAATTAATTCTAACGTAACTAATTTTGAAAGCTTAAGTGATCAGTGCAAAGTTAGGTTTGATCTCCTAATAGAGGGGTATCAAAATAACAATGAGCTGGAAAAGAGAGTATTTAAAAGCTACAAGAATTGTCAAGAGCAGCTGAAGTATAAAGGAAAAAATACCCTAAAAATCTAGACAATTACAATTCATTTAAGAATGAACTTACATTTTGGAACAATACATGGCTTGTGTACCTCAGGTTTAAATCTGCTTGACATAAGCATAGGCATAGACACAGTAACATTTCTTTTTGTTGACTGAAGACTTTTTTTCAAATTAAGAAGCGTTGCCATGCAGTAAGGAGTTAACTAGAGTTCTCAAAGCAATAAAAAAAGGGAGTGACTCCAGTTCCACTGCAAATAAATGGGTATTGAACAGTCCATTACCTTCAGAATTCCCAGAAACTTAGCTGAGAATGCAGTACTAGAAAGGATGCACATGAGAAGAAAAAAGGGCAAAAAGACAATATGAAGATGTAGGTATGAAGCAACTTGTTTAGTTTTGCCCAATGAGAAGCAAGAATTATTGCAAGGAAAGAATGGAGTAAATGGAGACAATAACAAAATAACAGGAAAGGTAAAGAACAGATACCACTGCATATTATTCAATTGTATGAATCAGGCTAAAAGAAATAACAGCAAGTAATATTTTTAAGATGTTCCTTAGTGGGAAGTTTGAGCTTGTTTTGCCCCATATGAAACTCATTGGCGTGCAAGTCATCAAAGACGGGATTCAGTTCCCTAAACATGGACAATGAGTGCCATTTCAGGTGACGCAGGACATTTGTGCAGGACCAACAAATGTGACACCGTACACAGGAGAGACTTGTGTTATTCCACAGTGGCAGCTGAAGGCTAGGCAGTGTGTCCCCGGGTATATAAAGTGGCATGAGATGCTTGTGCTTAGGCAACTGAATCCTGCCCTGGGTAATTCAAGAAATATAAAAGTGGAGATCTTTACTAGCCTGCGTTGTCTTGGTGAGAATGTTTTCAAGGCAATGATGCAGGAAATCATGAAAATGTGAACAAAAACATACCATGAGTCCAAGCAAGCTTGACTTCTGGAGTCTGCTTACTTCGGCAGAAGTTGGATCGGGTCCCAAAACTGTAAAAGCAGCAGCCATGTCTAGAGCTTAGAAAGTTCCTAATGTAGTATCTTTCTTAAGTAAGATGGATTTTTAGAATTAAGGGCCTATGAGCTAAACCTCTGTTCTGAAGAAATTGATTAATAGCTTAATTGAGCAGAGAATAGCACTGCACTTGGATAAGCGTAGCTTGGTGGGGTCAGACCAGCATGGGTTATGTAATGGAGAGTCACATCTCTATAAATTTTTAGTCTTGGAAAAGTGAATAAAGAGGCTGAAAAGGCTAACTGATGAACCTAGTTGATTCGAATATTCCAACATATTTGGAAAAACTCATTCTTAAAGTTTGTTGGGTGAAATAATCACAAGAAAATAGCGAAATAAAAGCTGTGTGGAACCTACAGCTGGAATTTTAATTCATTCTGATTTACTGTATTTGGTTTAGAAGTATGCCCTTTCTCTCTCCCAAGGGAATCCCAGGGAAGCAAATGAGGCTGTGAGATCTCTAGTCCCCGAGACTTGGAGCAAAGAAGAGGATGAAATAAAGAATTCGCCTCTTCCTTTCCTACTCAGCCATTTGAAAATCTCCTGACTTGCAATTCTAAAACAATGTTATTTTAAGAGCCACTTGCCCTCTCCTTCCTCCCCCATAATGTGGGCCAATATTATGCTACTTATGATGAAGCTGGGGTTTTAAGCCACTTCATGTTCTTTCATTCATTTGTTATCTTTTAGGATTTTTTAAAGGTGAAAAAAACAGCTATTCAGAACATGGGTGGCAAGTTTCAGGTGCTCTAATGCTTATTTACACTTATAACCAAATAATGAGTCATGAAGGTCTGTCATCAGCTGCAAGTAATATTGGCTCAGCTAGCAAGCAGCATTCAAAACCAATAATACACAGGTATCTAATTAGCAAGAGTAACTCTTAAACAAAGCAGCAAAGTGGCTGTTTACAATCTCTCCATCCTTGGGATCATACCCTCCAATTGTTTTAGCAACAGCTTGTGCAGCATTCTGGAAAAGTCATTGTGTTTGGCTGTTGTTGAACGAAGAGACTCAAGAGGAGCATATGAAGTCTCAAAGAAGAAAAAGGCCTGCCAGCATACAGAGGTTCTTGGGTGGGGGGATCTAGCCTCTAGTACTTCTTAATCACTGCTGTCGTATCATAAAGAAGGTGAGGCAGCTGACAAGAAACAAATTCATGCTATGGTGTTTTGGATTGGAGTTTAGAAAATAAAGTTGGAAGTGTTTGCACATTCCTGGGTAGGTATAGATGGCCACATTGGAGCAAAATTCAGTGACAAAGCCATTATCTGACTGCTTGGGTTTTGTCATTACTTTATTTTTCTTTCTCCCTTGCTGAAAACATAATGAGTTTCCTTCAGAAGCTGAGTGGTGGCAGTATGTCTTGTAGAATGACTTCAGCTTATTTTGAGTACTAGCAGAAGTATTTCCAAGTGACTAAACCTTTGACAACTTAATGTTATTTATTGTACTGACAAAAGGGGGGTGTGTCAAGGCAAAAAACATAATTGCTATGGGTTTCCCATTAGAAATATTTAAGACATTCAGACTGAAAATCAGAGGGGATTTGGAAAGTCATATGAATGACTGAAATGAGGATTAAATGTAGATACAGTGTTTTCATGGACAACAAAACAAGCCTGAACTTGCAAGTGCTGAGGTTTTAGTTTGACTTTAAAGTATTTTGCTGAAGGCTTTGTTACTGAATGTGTCTTAAAATACTTTTTTTTTCCTCTCCATTGTTCCCATTTCAGATGATCATTCTCGAGTGAGATTGCAGCCCATTGAAGGAGAAACAAGTTCCGATTACATCAATGGAAATTATATTGATGTGGGTATACTGATGGAGTCAACAAACTTAATGTTGTGTTCAGTCAAAGAGGGAGCTCTTATTATTCTCACGTTATTCATAATTTGTAATAGATACCACAGCTAATATCAGCTGCTAAATATTGTTGGAAAGTACTGTCTTTGGAAGCTAGGTGTACACTAAAGGGAAAAAAAAAAAGCCTCAAAGGTTTTGTCAATAAGCAAATGAAGGAGTCATTTCCTCCAGCTGCCACTAGACTGAAACCTTGCCAGCAACACTGTATGGCTACTTTGCCTGCTGGTGCTTATATGGGCTAACGAAATGTTATTTTCACTTTCTGTCAACAGCTTGGCATCATTCCACATTTAAAAGAAAGCTGTTTGCATATTAATGTGACAAAACTCTGTAATGCCTAATGCAGAGATTTGCAATCTCTTGTCATCTCTGCACTTTTAAGTCGCCTTCAAAGTACATTCTGCAGCTGTTAACCAGTACTTCTAATGCAAGCAAGACATTTCATTAAATATGTAGGCTGTTTAATTATTGAAGGTGGCTTCTTTGTTCATTCTGCATCATGTTAACTTAATGTTTTACATTAGAATAAATTCTTTAAGAGACAAGGTGTTTTTGGTTGAAAGAATGAACTCAAAAGTAGAATTGAAAATCATTCGAAATTCAATACTATCTAAAGCCAGAAATCTAAGGATAGCAAAGATAATAATTTTATTGTTTACATGGAGTGCTAGATGTTAGGCTAAGTAAAACAAGTGTTGCTTCATAGGAAACTATGTCTGCTAAAGATTTCTTGTTCAGCAGTGGCGTCTTTGAAAAGTAGCGTCACAGTTTGCAGTTCAGATTTAATCACTAGTGTGAAACAGGAACGGAACAGATGCTTTTCTCAGAGTATGGAGGAACTAGAGCTATAAAAGAAAGGCAAGTACTTCAGTTGTAACAATCGGAAGTCTGAAGATGTGACTTTCTGAAGATATCTCCTTCTATTGATGTTTATTAGCATGTTCAAGAACCGTTAAATTAAGCTCAGATTTCTGCTCAGTCCCTTGCTCTTTGAAAGAATAGCACGGTCACCAAGAGGTAAAGGCACATATGGAAATATATTTAGTCAGACATCTCACTAAACTGAAGGGAGTGATCTGTCATGAAAGGAAAGAGAGAGTTCACATTGGGGACCTAGACTTGAATTCACTTTCACACTTTCTCCAGCGTTCAGGATTGTGCTCATTTTAGACTACTAGTATGTTCTTGTGTCAGATTTTGATCTGACTCTTTTAGAGTCAGAAAAAACCCAAACCCTTTGGTGACGTTCACATCAGAATCTCAAATACTATAAAAGTGGTATTGTTGCCTATTGGTAACTTATGCAATGTTACAAAGAATCCATAGAGTGTCAGTCTTTATTGCGGGGCAGCTTGAGCCCAAGTTGCTCTTGTCATCAGAGAAACACGGAATTGTTTTGTGTTCTTCCTATTTAGATGTGAGCAAGTGTATTCATACCAAACCATCTAGTCAAAGAATTTGCCCTCCTTTTTACTGTTCAGAAATAAAACATAAACAAATCACAGTGGACAGAGTGACCACCCCCCCACCCTTCCCCAGGCTGAATGCAAGTCTAGCGTTCTCTAGCTGTTAAAAAAGGGATAGGCTTGGCACTCAAGAGCAATAGCTTGGAGGTACATCTCGGCCTCCACGAGCGTCTGATGCCATTATCTGCAAGTGCTAGGGAGGGTTTCATGCTGTTCATTTTCAGCAGAGCCAGCAAGGGACTGAGAGAACGTATTATTTCTGTCCTCTAATGTACAAGGCTGCAACTTAAGTAACTTGCAGAAGACACATTTGCTTCTTGTTCCCCTTCTCCCTTGCCCTTCCCCCACCAAAAAGAACTTTTGCATCTAACACGTTATCTGTATTGTGATTTTTACTGAATCCTATTCTAAATAAAGTTTCACTCATAGCAGCATAGCTGAGGTGCATATTGCTTATATTTTTTTTTTCCAATTTATTTTAGGGTTATCATAGACCAAATCACTACATTGCTACACAAGGTAAGTTTATGACCCTTTCTTTTTAGTTATGTGAGGCTAAGAGGTTTTGGTACTGGGCTTAGAGTTTATGTTCTCTAATATGCAGTCTTGTTATAATCAATATCCAGGACAGACTAGGCTCATTCACTTAGGCAGAAGTGAGCAAACTGAATTATTATCTGATTTTCAGGTATGTCAACTAAGCAGTCCTTTCCTTTGTGTTCAGATAGGTTTTGAGAAGAAAAGCAAAATACATACTTTTTGGCAGAAGTTACTCAACATATTGTAACTCATGAAACGAAGAAATAAGTCAAGGTCAAAAAATTCAGTAAACTTTTCAGAGACACAACAGTGTCATGAAAATGTATGTTCTCTTAATTGTTCGATGATAACTAGGCTTCAGATCCTTAAAATACAAAACACTTCAGTTAGTTAGCAAGTTTCAGTGGAGGACCCAAAGACATATTATGTTTGCAGGGGGATTCTTCAAAGGGATCTAGAGAGACAATTTTACAGACCGTCATTTAAAAGCTTGCTTGTGAACAAGAACCTATTCCTTTGTCAAGACACAAATTAATTTTCAATTTGTACTTGTCTTCAAAGACATAATCTGCCCATTCTGATGCAGTTCTTATTTATTTTTTGGTCAAGTTCAGAGCTGGAACAGGTGGGAAAGATAAGTCTTCTGTGACTGCTTAATCATAATATTGAACAATATGCCAATCTCCTGCCTGTGCTTGGATAGCATATATGTGAAAATTTGATTGCTCCGCCACTGCTTGGAGGGAATCTTCTCCTTAATAGGTATTCTGTGACAGAGCTTCCTGCATTTGCCCGTGGATCTGAAGAAGCTGACCTACACCCACGTACGTTATTTCAACACATGCCCAACCTTTTAAGAGAGGCAGCTGGAGTACTGAGTATAATATACTCGGAATAATCTTACCATATGTTGGATTTAGAGGTCATATATACTTTTTTATGACTTTTTGTCAAAGCAGAGAAAATGTTGGCCATGTCAAACATGAGCTCTTACTGTGATTCAGTTGTCCCCTAAGTAACCCAGAGTCTGCAGCCTCCAGTCCCTGCTCCTACCAGTGGCAGGCTTTGTATCTCTGCCTTTCGGTATTTCAGCCCTCGGTGGTCCCAAATGAGGTGTTAATTCGTGTCAGATGGCAGTGGGGCAGAATGCAGATCTCATTTCTAGAACCACCTCACTACCATCAATATTACACTTCTAGACCAGAATTAGAATTTATGATCTTAGAATATGAGCCATTTAAATGTGCTGCTTCTTGCACTTCTGCTACCCATCCACCACATTCCTCAGTCCACAGTCTTTCTACGGATGAGCCAGACGGGAAAACTAGGACAAAAATGCAGCATTTGCTTAATTCCCTTGGGGCACCCTCCTCTTGTAAGGAGAAACGGATTGTTCCATTTAACCTTTGGCTCATGATGCTGTTGGTTTTCACCTTAAATTGAATCCGAAAATAAAAAGATGCACAGTTGGCATTTTACTTGCAGTTTGTAATAGTTGTTTTCATCAGGAGGTTCACCAGTTCTCCCTGACAGCTTTCTGATGGACAGATGAGATCCCTATCTGAAGCAAGTTTAAATGCAGCTTTATCACTCATCATAGTACTTGAACGGCAAATACCAAGCTTGAGGTTTTTGTACTTTCAGCTCTTAAAGACAAGTATGTAATGATGTATGAATAAGGTACTGAAAGTCTATGTACCAGACCCACCAGCGAGGTCCAACAGTTTCTTTGATACACCTTTTTCCTGATACGGCATCAAGAAGTACCTAGTCAAGAAGGAGAATAAGAGGAGTAGAAACAAGTCTTCCTCCAAGATGTAAAGGATATATGACTGTTTCGGCTGTCATTCTTTGGGGCAGATCCCATCAGTTTCTTCTGTGTAGGTGCAGCTAAGTGTGTGCCGGGATGCCTAACCCCTCCCATGGTGTGATGAGTGAGAAACCGACTCTCTGAAGAATATAAAATTCATTTAAAAATGGGCATACCATTCAGAGTAAATTCAGAATAATCTGGCTGTGAGTTTTGTGGTGGATTACATCTTTAACATCTTATTTTTTAAGGCCAGTTGGGAAGCAGATTTGTATCTCCATTCTGGAGGAATGAAGAGCACTCATCTCAAGAGGTTTATGTATTCTCTTTGGCTCTGTCCCTGGCCTGATGAAGAATCATGAGAAACTTACTTTTCCTTCCTCTGTCTCAGATCTCCCATCTGCAGAATAGGGTTAAAAATGCTCATCTGCTTTTTATAGTTCTCTGCAATGTCCTGACAGGCGCAGCTGTGTAAAGGCTAGTTAGCGTTATTCTCCAGTATCCCAGCTTCCCGACCAAGCCTTTGCGCTAGAGTAACACTTCCAGTAAAGGGCAGTCTCTGTCTTTTGCAAAGGTGATAGGGACTGGGAATAATCTCTAAAACTCCTTTAAGGCTGTATATTAACCACAAAAGGAAAGACATTTGTTTCACGTGTCAAACAGACTGTGCCTCTGTACGTCTTCCTTACTGGTAAGCCTGTCAGGAGCCATGGCTTGCCGTATAGCCAGCGATGTTCATGCTCCGTTTTAGACCACGCTTTCATATAGATACGTATAAACACATCAGTGCAGCACAACAGTTAAGCTGCATGTTTAATTCCTGTGATGTCTACTTTACATCAGTCTTTAAATAACTTTCCCCATTCTCCCTTTTCTCCTCCACCGCAACTTTCACAGGTGCACATGCCTATTGTTCTTTGAAGGAAAGTATCATTACGTGAGTCAGTTTTAAATCTCTGAGGAGTCAGAATGATTGATATTTAATTTTGCTATGTTCTTAAGCTGCATTCAACATATCAAGTGTTAATGAGCAAATATAATTGTTTAAAGTGAAGAAGTGGCAAATTTAATCAGTTTGTAATAGACTACCAGCCTGCTTTTAACAGAGCTGGGAGTTGCATAATCACCTGTTTATTAAAGTGTTACTGTCTTCCATACTAACCAGAGTTTGACATACAGACTGGTGTCTTTCCACCTTGGCATTCATAGCATCCTGCTGCTAATTTGAATTAGGGGGAGAAACATTTTTTTAAGAGACTTGCCTAATGGAGGCTTTCTCAACTAATAATCAAAAAAGGTTTTACTTCCATTTTAAGAGTAATATATTCAGAGTGTGCAATTTCAATTATAAAATTAACATCAATTTTCCTTTATGTGATAAGTATAATGTGAGCGGTAGACTGAATTTACAGCTAATAAAGACTTTTGGTGATCTGCTGTAATTGGCATCAACAGATGGGATCCGCACCTGAGTCACCGTGATTAAAAAGAATCCCTCATCACAAGCCAGTGTATTGGGTCATGCAGAACCAGCAAGACGGTGCGATTTAAAACTTGCTGTTTTGTTTTACATATCCCTTGTTTCCATAGATATAATTTTTTTTTTTATATAGCGGAATATCGAGCTCTTGTATGATCTCTTCAATTTACTGGCAGTTAGGGGTTTTTTTTCCAGGAGTTAGGTAATCAGTGAATTTTAACTAGGTCCTTTAGTGAGAGCATTAGGTTGAATATCTGTACGGTACTTATTCCCACACCCACTGCTGGATGTTTGTACTATTGGATGACTGTTGGTGATCTTGCCTGTCTCACCCTGACTACTAAGCAGGAAAAAATAATCTTTTCTGTATTTACTTGTTCTGTGTCCCCTGAAGCTCACGTAGATAACTGAGCTATGACTTAGCTTCGTTTAGCAAGTCTCTGCCAAAGGTTTTGTAATGCTTCCTCCACCACTGCACCAGCAACTGTAAATTATGAGTGACAAACGAACGTTACTGTATTTCGACAGCGTCGCCCATTGCCCTTTCCACCAGGGCTGGTTTTCCAGCAGGTCCCTCAGGCGTGAAGCAGCAGATGCTCACGTGACGCTGCGTACCTTTGCAGAGGAGGTACATTTGTTTGTGCGTCTCACGCTTCGGAATACTCTTGGCGGTGCAGGGAGTCTCTGCTTGCTGCAGCATGCAGAGGAACCGGATCTAGGCTGTTTTGTGGAAGCGCTTCAGAGCATATCTTAATGTCTGTAAAAAGTTACTCTTGACAGCTTTGGGTGTAATAGCCCAGTGTAGCCTTACAACCTCTTCTTTGTCTGTATCCAATTGTAAAGCCGATGCTAAAGTGTTTCACTTTGTGTATTGCTGATGATGGGGACAGACATCAAGTCAAGTTTCAGGCGGAGTTTTTTAGGTAGGAGTTGTAAACTTCTGAAAATAAATATTTACAATGGAAATGTTTACAGTCTTCGCTACAGCAGCATAAACTTGCCGCTGTAATAACCCCTTTCATATTCCTTCTCTCTTCTGCAAAATACGTGTCTTTCTTCCACACACGACTGTATGTGTTGTATGAACATTTTAATAAGGGTTTTCAGAAACAAAAATACATTTTCTTTCAAACTGAAAGTTCCCTTTCAGGCATCTGAAGCAGAAATAATGCTTTGAATAATAATACTCTTAACTTCCTTGGCATGTTTTTTGTTTTTGTCTTACAAAAAGTTGTCAGAACTACAGCAGTGTGGAAGCCCCACACTTGTCTTTACAAAGAAACTTCTGCTGCCATGGTTTTAGCCTCCAGATGAAAATTAACATTTGAAATTACTTCAGGGAGAATCGAAAAACAACAAAGCAAGATAGTTCTACACATTTTTTCAGCTTTATATATGCTGTTATTTTTGCAGGACGTAGGGTAGTCAGGCTGGTTTCCCAATACATATACCAAGTGATTGAATTCTGTACACCTGTGTTGATCTTGAAGCTTCAATTGTTTTTGATGCTGTCCTTTACTTCTTAATCATCAAAACAAAAAAAGTGGTTGAACCCACCTGTCTTCAGTGAGGGAGATAAACCCATTCTTAAGCGCTGCATTGAATAGGTGAGGCTTTCTGAAACAGGGCCTTCACCTGTTTAGCGATCGCAGTGACAGACGGCAGAGAAGTTACTTTTCTCTCCCGCCC